GAGAGAGAGAGAGAGAGAGAGAGAGAGAGAGTGAGAGAGAGAGAGAGAGAGAGAGAGTGAGAGCGGTCCATTTAGCGCTACAAATGCTTCAAAACATTACATTGACCAAAGTGAGCAAAATCGAAAAAAAGAAAGTTTCACCAATCAAAAGATGTTTCGAAGCGTTTGTAGCATCAAGAACCGTAGCTACTATTAGGCAGTATTAGGCATCACAATATCTAGCTTTGACAATGTTTGACTCCTTATTTATTTATAATAGCATTTTTGTTTAACTTATGTAATAAAAGTTATTATATGGTTAATTTAATTATTATATAATCAACAATTGTCTAATCAAATTTATAACATAGTAATTTAATTATTATGTAATAAAACTTTATTATATAATAATTTCAGTCTATGGACAGTCAATAACTGTTTGCTTGATCATTTATTTCCATTTAAATCTATTTTAGTAGTCTGCCTTTTTTCGATGTTTTCGCCAAGATTTTCTTCAATCCTCTGTTTGTATTGTGAATATGCTATCCATATTATTTTTGCGTGTGATTACAGAAAGCGATACAATTCGTATAATCATTTAAGTTTTTAGGACGCTGATCATATCAGTGTCTGACAGGGATTGACAGATACTTACTGATAACGATATTCTCAAAGAAGCTCATCTTTCGAATTATGCCCGTTTTCTGCTTTTACGTTAATAACGATAAAATCACTTTCTCCGAGCAACATTGAATAAGATTGGTACAACAAAAGCGATTCGCCCGATTGTGGCGTTAGAATGTATTTATCGGAAATATCCGGTGCAAACGAGTCTTCGTCGCGTTTTTGCGTCACTCGCGATAACTCAGTGACGCGCAACATTAAAGAGTACAGTTCTGGTTCGATTAAGTCGCATTATTTTCCTTCGTGATTCGACTCTTTAGGTCTGATATCTTGTGATGCAAGGAAATATTTTTAATATTTTTAAATAAATACTCTCTATTTTCATAATTCGATTGACTCTGAATTATTATTTTACCAACTAATAAATTATTCTTTATATGTTGTCGAAAAATATTTGTCGATTTTTGTACGCGCGTAAATTATCTAATCTCAACGGTCATCTACGTTCGTATGTAACAACTTTTTTGGCGGTGTTAATCCTTAACTCTTTGTAGTCCTATATCAGGAGACGCGGTAGTGTCTCCTGCCATGTTCAGAAAAATACTACTTTAAATTAAAAAATTAATAAAATACACTACAAGTTTCTTATCCCGAGCCACCGAAGTCCATTTTTGGGGGGTTCATAACTACTAAAATATAAAAATTTTTGAATAACACGTAATATATCTTAAAAAGCGGCATCGCCACGAGTAATTTGAGCTAAACAATTTTTTAATCGGTCAAGCCGTTCTAGACATACAAGCGGTCGAAAAGTGATTTTCATGAGAAATGTAGTAACGTCTTCTTCTTCTCTGTCCGTAGTCATATGCACTCTCCTATCTCACCTTTGACTCACACCTCCACCAACTTCGATCCACCATACCCCCTCCCCCTCTCCCCACCATCCATCCCCATTACCCTTCTCTTTCACTAAATTTCACTCTCGTTATATATTTAAAAAAAATTTTTTTTTATATATTAGTGGTATATCTATACTCTAAAAAGCAAGTGATATCCTAAAAAAAAAATATATCATAAAAATGAAAAGCCATTTTCAAAAAAAGATCCTCAAAAATTTAAACCTTTTTATCTAATAGTAATATATTACCATGAAAAATAACTGATATATATTATTAATTAAAGATGCTAGTTCAAAGTGAACATCCATAAAGTGTATGCAACTTTCGGCTGATTTTCGAATCGCCTTCGCCTTTTGCCCTCACCGCTCCGCACGCAGTCCAAATGCTGCTCGACCGTCGCGCTACACTTTATGTATGTTCACTTTGAATTGGCACCTTTAATTAATAACATATCAGTTACTTTTCATGGTAATATATTATTGTATATATTTGCTGTCTAATACTTTTCAAGTATTTAAATTAAACAAATCGTTACTCTGTGTTCTTAGAATTTTGATAAATTCCTTTAAATAATTAAAAAAAAGTTTTCGATTTTTATTTTATCTATCATTTAGACATTAAGGATGAAATTCTAGAATCTCGCTCATTTGTAACTTATGGAAGCTAAGAATTCGCATTAAAAAGATCATCAAAATCACTGCAGATTTACACACACACATGTCTTTTTTATATTTTACTATTAATCTAGCTTCTGATGTAAATATCTGAATGTTGCAACGTTTTGTGCTATGGATAGAAAACATTACATTTAACAGTTGCGATCATGTGCAAGAGTATTTATAATCTCGTTTCGAATTCATTGTTGCGAGTGATAAGAGCGGGGGACTGAGATTTTTGTCTTCTATAAAGAAGTATCTCGCGGCCTCGATGTATGTACTTTTCACTCTTCACTCGTCTACCATAATTCGCGTTCCATTTGATATGATTTGATGCAGTTGTCGCACAGCTGAACTGAGCAAAGTGCGTATTCTCTCACGTGTCTCATCGAGAAAAAGGTACAGTGTGTTTTGTATGATTTCGTTTTCATTCGTTATTCTCGAAGATGAGGCGATATGCAACCCGCAGATATCTCGAAGATATTTAGTAAACATTTATTGAAAATCAATCACGAACTGTTCACTGAGTAATTTACTTAAAGAAATACTTACATAAATTATTCTTTTCTTTCAGGATACACAAAGAAATTGCAATAACGAGATGCGTTCGACCCATGTTGCATTGTATGCTTTCCGGTTGACACTAAATCAGGTAAAAATATAAAAATGTTTTAAAGTAAGTCTTGAGAGTTCAGCCTCACAGTAATTAATGCCTACTTTAATTAATGTTTACTTAATTCCCATTTCTGCCTATATTTTATAAATGAAAAGTTTTTTTTTTGTATCAATTGATTTCTGTTTTTGAAAAATTGGGATCGAAATCCCAAAACCTTATTGATATTAATTCAATAACTGGAACATATGAGTTACACATATGACCCTAGATATAATTATAATATAATAAATTAATATTAAACAAAGCTCAAAGTAACAATAAGGATAAAGCGAGGGGTTAACCACTAACTTAAAAAATGTATAGTGATTGCTAATTATGGCAATACAATATTTGCTAGCATTGCTATTGTAATGTTAGTATTGTTTTTGTATTGCCAATGGTTGCTGTTCGAAAGATTATTTAATTTCCTTTATTTTTGCTTTTGATGTATCTCTTACCTGTGTCGAACTATAATAGAAAATGTAAAAATGCATTTTCCGGTCCGATTTGGAATTCATAGTTTCAAATCGAACCTCTCCTAGTTTTATGGACTTTTAGATAGAATTTATAAAAAAATATATATTTTTAAAAATTAATTTTTGTTAGTATATTGAGTAAAAACGAGCAATTTAAAAGATAAAAATACAGTTTATATTATTGGAATTAAAATCAATTCCTTCAATCTGAGTCTGATGACACATGATATTTTATTGATTTAGTGTTCCTTAGACCAGATCTGGTCGATCGATCACTAGTACTACATACAACTAGATTGTGACGAACCTCCTTCCTTCCATGAATTAACTGGCTTACTCGTCTTTTTAGTGTTTTTTGTATAGATCCGATTTGGACACGGGTTCTTTCGAACTATTGGAACAAATTTTACAATAAACTGCAAAAGTAATCACAAAACTCTTGATATTTTTAATTCTATACTTTTTAATTATCTTAAATCAATTACCGTTAAAATTTTTAACATCTTTTAGATAATGATTTAAAGAACTTTCTTTTTTAAAAAAATGTTCGCATGATAGCCGAAAATATATATTCTATTCTATGAACGTTATGACAGAGTACTGCTGTCACGTGTTCGACGTCTTGTAAGAACTTTACATTACTCGTATAAATAGCACGCAAATCTGCTTAATCGTATTTATTTAAATTAAAAGGATCCGATTTGGAACACGGTCCGATTTAGGACATTCTCTCCTATATATAATATTATATATAGAATTATATTAGTATAAAAAAGGTGGCCATACGGATATGATTGGTAAGTTTCAGAATAACTATAAAAATGCTATTTATAGAAATTATTAGAAAAATTACAACCTATGGCCATCTTATCCGTATGACCATAATACCGAGTTTACTCTAAAGTTATGGGATTATATTAAAATTTTAAAAAATATATAATTTTTTTTGTAGAAACGTAATGAATAATAATATAAAATAATAATTATTTGTTTTTGAAATTTTTATTACATATACATTTTCGAAATATATTGCGGTAATACAGTAATAAATAGGCAATGCTAGCAATATATAGAAATACATAGCAATACGTAATAATACATTAACAATACTTGGCAATATTGCGCATAATAAGTAAAGCACTATTATGTGATTTACTTCCATGCTATTACGTTGGTTAAACAAGGACAAACAATCAAACTTTGATGTTTCGCCCTCGTCTACGAAAAAGGTCAGAATAAGTACTTTCAGGTTTTTCTTTGATAGAATATAATATTCCTTCTAATATATTTAAAGATTGATTAAACGCTTATCGGATGTATGGTATACTTGAGAAATCTAAAATTAAAATAATTTTTTAAACGTTCATTATATAAAATATTTTGATGGATATAAGCAAAACGTTAACAGATTATCATTTTTCTTTGCCACTACCGTATCAATGCAATTGTCATCCGTTATCTCATACTGCCTATTACCTCGTTTATCGCCACCTATTATGCGCAATATTGCCAAGTACTGTTAATGTATTGCTACCTATTATGTATTGCTATGTATTGCTAGCATATTTCTACTATTGCTAATATTGCTAGCATTGCCTGTTTTATTACTGTATTGCTGTAATATATTTCTGATAAAATGTACAGTGATTCCCATAGTGGTTGACCCCCCCTCGGGATAAAGTAAAGGACCATATAGAATAAAAAATAAGTAGAATCCAGTATAAAAAAAAATTGAACAGTCTCTAGAAACTCATTTTTAGGCAGATCGGATTTTTTAGAGATGAAAAACGAATTTTTATTAACACATTCCAAGGCTATATTAGTCGGTACGTTTGTAAATAATGACATGACGTCTAACGTTTGTAGTCCTTGTCAATGTGCATTCCTTTCAGTTTTTCAACCAATTGAAAACTGTTTTGTATGTAACTGTTTGCTTTTGGGATGGATTCAAACATTACATTGTGTAAAAACGATGCTAATTTATATAATGGGCTGTCAATCGAGGGCACAATGATTCTATCTACAGGCAATCAGGTTTGTGGATCTTTAGCTACTCATAAGATCTCGGAAGCGACCCATCACTATAATATAGTTATTTATATTTATTTATGGAGAATGTAAAAATTCTAGACGAAGAACTTTGCTATGGAAAAAGATTAATTTAGGAGATGTTGAATATGAAGAAACAAAATAACAGCTTTAAACTCCAAATAGACGAGGTCTCCATAAAGGTTATATACCGATTATAAACAATATGTGACTTTGCAGTGCCAAAAACATTAATATCTCTAACATTGCTCAGTCAGTATTGGTTGGTTGAATCATGTACAAATTCTCATTTTTTTACTTTTAATTTTGTGATCAATTTTTTGACCTTTCATCCATTTTTTAAATTTAATTTAACGGCACGATTGGACTCCTATAATTACCTCATCAGTATACACTGACTGAGTACTATTTACTGTTCAAAATGTATTACTTCATTGTGCAATTTACTGTTCAAAATATTTTTTCAACGTTATATTATGCGAAACATAATTAGAGTGCTCGCTTGGTGAGTTATTTATCGAGACGACGAATTTGCTTACCGTCTTATAATTCATTACACAATATAATACTATTTTTTATCGTACCAGAATATTGAATTTATTAACATTTGATTTATCAATCCTTTCGTTTTTTTGGTTAGTTACTCATTGGACATCGCACTACAGGAGTACATATAGAAATTTATTATCTCTCACTACGATATAAAGAATTTTTTTTATACATCTGATGAAGGCTGCTCAAACCAAGACCCGAAATATGTTATGTGTACAATTTTTTATCTAAATTTATTTAATTATATTCTAATTTTTAAATTGTATAATTTTCATGTAAGTTCTTGGTAATTATGCACTATAGGGGAGCCAGCTCCGATGACCTTGACCTATGTTGTCAAGGTCATGATTCTGAGCAACTTTGCCTTAACAACTAGGCGGCGGTCTCTTATAGTTTCTGAGATATTTAGACATAAAAGTCTAATTTCGTATAATACAATAATATGTCTTTCCGGTATATATCTAGAAAATCAAAAATGGGAAACACCTACTTTGTTTGTAAAGTACTGAATGTTGCGAAGTGTATGCGTGTATGATATTAAGTACTATTCTGCACCCCCTCTCCCTATGTAAATGTGTTAAATCTTCTACGCGAAGCAACTATCATCCCCCTCCCCCCTGTGCACGAGCACACGACTTCCATGGTAAATATCTAGAAAATGGGAAGCACCTACTTTATTTGTAAA